TTTTTTTTTTGGTTATTTTTTATTTTTATTTTATATTTGTTTTTTATCACTAATACTGTTTTGGGATTACCACCAATGTTTTTCTTTTCCTTAAATATTCTAGCCCCAGGATTCATTTTGTTTAGTCAAGATGTCACAAATTTAAAAATAAAACTTAGGAAACTACCAAAGGCGAAGGAGTTGTTCACTTTGTTGAAATTCATTGAGTTAGAGAAGTCTTACTAACAGATGCATTTAAATGTAGGTTCAACAGATAATTTCTTCTTCTCCCCTTCCCCCAAATTACATTCAGCTTTAAAGCTGTTTATAGCTTGCCATCAGCATTATTCTGGTAGGCTTGTCAGTGTTAAAACTGTTTGTTTAGGGATTTTTTTTTAAGCCCTTTAAAGTCTAATTTTAGAATAGATGAATTCAGATGTGTACCAGAGTGTGTATTTTCCAAAATGTTCTTGATTAAAGAGATTTGTTTGTAAATTTTCCATTGTTTTTTAAGTATGCCCAATTGATGTGATAAAATTTTCACTGTCATACCATAAAGCCTTGATGATCAACAAGGAGAATGCAGATATTATAAAGCTTTTTGTGAATTTTAAAATGCAAAATAAAGCAACCATGTCTAAATAATTAGATTCTTTTCTCTTATTTTAACAGGCTTAAAGTGTTTTGCTAAAATGTAGGCTTTATTATTCTCTACTACAAGATTACTCCTTAGTATTCAGTTCACCTACTCAGCAGCAGGATAGAGGACATTTGAGAATTGAGAAACTACAGTAGTCCCCCTCATCCATGGTTTTGCTTTCCATGGTTTCAGTTACCTGGAGTCAACTGTGGTCTGAAAATATTAAATGGAAAATTCCAGAAATAAACAATTCATAAGTTTTAAATTGCACACTGTTCTGAGTAGTGATGAAGTCTTGCGCCATCCTGCTCCGTCCCACGTGGGATGTGAATCATGTCTTTGTCCAGCAGACCCATACTGCACACGCTACCCACCTGTTGTCTACATCGTCTGCCACTGACGTCCAACCATCAACACGGTCATGGCTTAATGATTCCAGGATCCCCCACAGCAGATGATCCTCCTTCCGATGTATCATCAGAAAGTCAGTAGTAGCCTAACACTATGTCATAATGCTTAGGTCATTCCCCTCACTTCATCTTACCACATAGGCCTTTTATCATCTCACGTCATCACAAGAAGAGGGTGAGTACAGTACAATTAGATATTTTGAGAGAGACCACATTCCCATAACTTTTATTACAGTATAATTGTTCTATTATTAGTTGTTAATCTCATACTGTGTCTAATTTATAAATTAAACTTTACCATGGCTATGTATGTATAGGAAAAACATATAGGGTTCAGTACTGTCCCATTTCAGGCATCCACTGTGGGGGGAGGTGTCTTGGAACATATCCCCTGGGGATAAGAGGGAGCTACTGTGTTAACTTTATGACTTAGGGAGTCTTGATGTCTGAGAACCAGTTAAATAAGAAAAGATGGTGCCTGACACACAGTAGTACTCAATACTTGTGTAATTATGAATCTGAATTTCAAGGAATTGTAGGATTAAAATCCTACATCTTTGTAGTAACTCCTGGAGGGCAGGAACGTTATTGTCTTTGTGACCCCAGTTCTTAGCATAGTTTGGAATGTGGTAGGTACTCATATTTGTCAACTTAAAGTTGTCTTCATAAGGAAGTTACATTTGACCCCTGGGTCTTAGAGGAATAGAATTTGTTCAGGCAGAGAAGGGGGAAGTATTAGACATCCAGGAGAAAATGGCGGGAAAAGCAGAGGCCTGTGTACTGAAACTGGTCGGGGAGGATGATAGGGGATGAAGGCGGGAAAAATTAAGAGCAGAGTGTGAAGGATGTTGAATGCTTGTAGCATTAGCTTTTCCCCCTACTTAAGAAGGAAATTTGGAAACATTACTTATGTAGTATTCTTGCCAAATTTCTCAGAGGTCTCAGCCACTTCCTAGCTGAGCCAGTTCACAGATCTAGAACCTCTTGAAGAGGATGACATATCATCAGAAAGTCAGTAGTAGCCTAGTCTTTAAGGAAGGACTGTGCTATGCTGCCAAAATATATATTAAAGATGAAGTCTTGCTCTGTTTCCCAACCTAGAGTGCAGTGGTGGGATCATAAGTTTACTGCAACCTCAAACTCCTGGGTTCAAGCGATTCTCCTGCCTCAGCCTCCTGAGTAGCTGGGACTATAGATATGCACCACTGTGCACACATCTGTGCGCTGGCTGATTTTTCCTTTTTTTTTTTTTTTTCTTATGTAGAGACAGGGTCTTAATACATTGCCCAAGCTGGTCTTGAACTCCTGGGCTCAAGAGATCTGCTGCCTCAGTCGCAAAGTGCTGGGATTACAGGTGTGAGCACTGCACCCGGCCTGCCTTGGAGCTATTTTAGAAGACACCATTGAGATTCATAAGGAGTAGCTGTTGGGGTGAGCAGTATGTAGGCCTTCAGCTCCCAAAGCATCAGCGCAGTCCCAGGACGCAGAATCTCTGTGGCTGCTGCACCAGGACTTGTGATAGAGTTTGAGAACACCACGTAAGTGGAATGAACCTGGTAATTCAACTCGCCTATTCTAGGAACCAAGATTAAATAAACATAGTACCTTTTCAGCTTTGCTTACAATATGTTCAGAGATTGCCAATAGCAGCCCTCTGAGATATAGGGGAAAAAAATCTTTTCCTCTTGGTAACTGGGGAGAAATAACATGAAGGGAAGAAAATATCGTGCCCTCCACATATTCTAGATAGTCTCTAAACAGTCTACTTAATGGAGATAAAGTCAGTTTGAAGCATACACATTGATAGGGAGATACCCAACCCCAAATTTCCTTTTGATTATTTAATTAAACCTCTTGCCCATTGAGAATCCCAAGCATTATTAAAAAACACCAACACCCTTTAAAGTTCCCAACTCCCATTGGCCATGGTCTTTGGGGGAGGGAATCCTTGCCAGATAAATATGTTGGTGATAGAGAAAAGGGAAACAACACTTTATGCTGAGTGGGAAGACTCTTCTGTTAACTGACCTAATAAATTCAGTTTAGTCTCCACAGAATACTGAAGCTGGAAGGAAACCTTTGAGATGGTTTAGCACTCTGATTTTACAGAAGTGGAAATTGGGTCAGAGCACTTAACCTGCGTCATAATGAGAGAAGTGAGTCTCCTAACCCAGATCTCCTGAATCCTGGAGTCCAGTGTGCTCTGCACCACACTGCAAGATCAACTCTGTGGTAGGCTTGTATCAGACTAGTAATGTCTTGTCCAACATTGCTTGCTTGGTTCAGTTACCTAAAAATTTTAAAACATCATTAGCATTTAAGATGCATATTCTTAATGCTGCTGTTAACATTGTCTGGAATCAAATGATTGCAGAGAGTAGGTTGTAAGTTACTGAAGTCGGCATAACAGCACCTTGTGCACAGACAGCAGTAGAGATGTGAAATTTCCTTCGCAAACGAAAAGTTGAGGCTAAACTTGATCCCTAAAATGGGAATACTTGACCAGCTAGGTGGATCTGTTCAAACAGAATAAATTGGCTTTAATCCTGTGACCAAGTCTATATATGCACCCAATGTTTACTTTCCTCCATATTCCCTTCCCAAACCATTTTGAGTCACCCTTAACACATTAACTGCCATGTGAGTTGTATTTAACTGATGCTAGTTTTGAGCCCAGGGCCTCCTGAAGCATATGTAACTCACATGTCTCTTCATCTTGGGAGCCAGGAGAGCTATTTTTCAAGTTGCATATAACTCACACACACAAAACAATAAATTTTTCATTAAATTAGAAAGGATCATTTTGTTTTCAAAGCTTTTATTCTAT